CTATTTCAAAATTGAAGGGATTAAGAACTGAAGTGTCTAGGAAATGCAAATACTGTGTTTGAGACATTACAGAGTGGGCTTTAAACTTCCTTTTTGTATCATGCTTCAAACATTTGAGACTGTGCTCCCACAGTGTTCTGTAACAACAGTTTGTTCTCAGCACACCTAACTGGGAACACCTAAAACTAAGTATCTGCAGAAAATACTTTGAATGATTTCACAACTATAGCAGGAAAGCTTTAGGGCACAAAGGAGGGACACAACAAAATATTAAGTAAATATGAGACTTTTGTTTTCATTGTGTATGTGTGTTCTCCTCGTTGTTACAGAAGTCAGAAGCACTCTTCCCTCTAGTGTGCTGCTGCAATTTGAGCCTCAACTTGGGGTAAATTAGGTATGGAGAGAAAACGTACAAAATAGGGCATGATAATAATTGTTTTCTAATGAATTTGTAAGAAATTCAAATTATGCTGTACAGTCTTGACTTTTGTACTTTTGAAACGCAGTAACATTTTACCTGTCCAAAGTGTTCGTAACATTTTACTCGAAATTTAAAAAAGACCTCCAAACCAGAAAAAAAAAATCCAGTATATGACATCCTAATTATATTTATGAGTGATTAGCAGAGCTGCAACTGTTAGCTTTGGCATATAGATCTGATTCTTAATTAAACCCATAAATGGCAAATAGCAATCTAGTTTAATTACAAGCTGAGCCCAGAGCAGAGGAATAAGGGCACTGTGACAAAAGGCTTTATAAATATTTCCTGACAACAGAAGATCAAGCTTGCAGCCCTGTGGGGAAGCCTGCTTCCCTGTGAGCACAGGCACCTGCCTGTTCTCTCCAAACCTGTGTTTCTTAGGGACAGCTACTGTCCTGTCCATAATGATAGCACTTTTCCTTTTCTGGGCTGTCATTCTCATCACCCTGTTGTCCCCTTTCTTTGCACTTAGCTCTTGCTCCACAAACAAATCATCCAGCCAATCAAATTCTGTTTTCAACATTCTGTACGGACCTTCTCCTTCAACAAACCTCAGTTCCTCTCCTGATGATCCCCTACAAATCCATCTCTATTGTTCCTCTTCTCCATCCCCATTTTCCATTTGCCCATGCTCTTTATTTTTCTATCTACCTGCATTCCTATTTGTCTTTTAGCTTATGGTGATGGTCCTCAGAAATGTCTTTAGTATTAGTTTTCTTCACGTACACAGACTTCATTCCATGTACTATCTTCATCTTTCTCCAAAATTTTTTTCTTAGTTTCCATCTCTTAAGCCAGTTTTTGGCAGCTCTCCATACAAGTTGGCCCCACTCTGCTCTCAATCTCCTCTATTGCCATCTACCCAGTTTCATTTTTTTATCACAGTATCACATTTTGAAGGCAATCCTTATCATGCTAGTCTGTTTTGTTTCTCCTCACCCGCAAGTGAATTAAAAAAAAAAAGGGCTTGCATTGTTTCACCACCTTCCCCATTTTGATCAGATCAAGCAACATTTTAACAATGTCAATCATACAGACTGTGCTCAGATTTAGCAAAACCATAACAAAAGTGTTAGTGACACTGTTGGCCCAGAAATCTTGTGCACCTGAAAAATGAAACATTTTCTACTGTCTCAGGATTGTCAGCTTTAATTTGACAACAAACCTTGTTTTAAAATAATGAAAAGTGTTCTGGAAAAATAAAATTCTGTTTCCAATGTGCAATGTCTTCCTTCTGTCACCTGATGACCATATTGCAGGTGATGACTTGTCATTGCTAGAGCTACTCTGAAGAAGGTGGTTGTCACAGTTCATCAACTTCATCAGATGCAGGGGAGATTTTCCCTTTTGATATCAAGAAAGCTGAATTTGGGCAGCCACCTCCAAAGATGTGACTCAGTCAAAAGGTACTGGGTAGCAGGGATCAACTGAGAAAGAGGGAATGAGATGCAGAGAAATACTAAAAAAAAGCAAAGCCAGTGTCAGGAACTGCAGAGAAGTGAATGTGGGTTTATATTGTGGCAGATGGGGGCAGAATATGAGATAGGAGCCTGAGAAAAAAGAAAGGAATCTAGGGAATTAACCTGCTTTTCCATCATCTAGTGCTACATCTGATAACAGACCAGTTAACATGCTGGAAAACAGTCTTGGTGTGACTCATGAGCACAACTCTTGGTAGACATCTGCTCTACAAACACACGGAGTGGCATGTCCCTTGATCTCTTTTGCTCTTGTGTAGCCTTGATTCCCTTCCCCAGTGGCTGGTTCCAACAATCCATCCACTCACTGCACAGTTCTGCCCACAGAATGGCGGGTAAGTGACCAGTGAGCCAACCTTGGAGACAAGACTTCACTTTTTTGCTCCAGCTGCTGTTCTGTGCATCATCTTAGAGTTTCACTTATTTCTGTCTCTGTGTCCACCAGAAAATTTTAGTTGTGAGGAGTTACCAGCTACCTTGCCAAGTGATTACAATCAGACATCAGACTTCCTCACAGCCACCCAGTATGTTTCATTTTATTACCTTTGCATAGTGAAAAATTGCTGTTTGAATGTTGTTTTTATAGTTGTTTTATGTTTTTATGGTGGCGATGCTGAAGTTTTGCAACATGACCTTACAGTATAGTACAGCAGCATTGCAATTAGAAAATATTTTCCTTAAAATATATTTCATGTGCTTGTTTTTCCCCCAAAAAACTAGCAGCACTTAAACACATGCATTCAATTTTAAAGCAAGAAATTTTTGAGTTCTAGAAAATATATTTCTAGCAACTTACTTTCACTGGCTGAATAATCCTGTGGATCAAGTATCCCTGATTCCTGCAGCGATCTAATACAGGAGTCCACCAGCTCCAGACCAGTGGTGAGTTCATCTTCTATGTCCTTCTGACCATCTGTAATGAAATTAACAACATAAAAATGTAAAAGATGGCCAAAAATGTAAAGCCATATGCAAGACAAAAACTAAAACCAGTTTTTTGTGACTAAGCATTCACAGCTGATGAAGGGATGGAGGCCACACATTCCAAGGACACTCGCCATACTGAAAATTGTGCCATCCTTTGAAAGCGTGGCCTTGGATTAATAAAAGCAAAATGAGAATATTTAGGTCTAGTGGTAAAAAAGGCCAGAGACACATTTAGCAGTGCCCCTTCTCAAAACTCTACTTAGTTTCAGTGTACTTTTTGTCAATCCTAAAAACTTTTGCCAAATCTTGTCACTTTTTAAGTACAGTTTTCACGCACTAGCAATGAGAAAAAACACAAAAAAACTCAACAAAAACCTCCCCATACATCAATGTACGTTTCCTCTCCATCTTTTTTAGATAAAAATGATCTTTCTGGGAGAGAATGTAACTGATACATAGGTGTAGAGAGGTACATTACCTTGTGTTTGCCAGTGAAACTGCTCTTCTGTTGAACTGGAAAGAGAAAGAAAAAAGTGATAGTTTTTAAATTGTTTTGTAGTGTGCCATGAATATTCACATATAAATCAATTCTGAAGGAACTGATTTAAGAGAAGAACACACTTAATAATAAAAAATGTATTTAGAATACATAATTTTATATATTTTTTAATTAATGACTTGTACGTCATTCACTCAGCTGGAGGGAAGCATCTTTATTTCTTTATCAAGTAATTTCAATCATGCATACAGAAATTTGCCTCGGTATTGACATACAAACTACACTATTTCAAAAAAACATTAGCATTCTTCAACTTTTTGGATCCTTTTATTTGTCTGATTCTCCATGTTTATCAAGAAAATTATAAATTGCTTTCTCAAATGAATAGTTACATGTGATTCCCGAAAGAAATTATTAGTCCTGGTTCTACTGATCATTATGTGCATTTTTATATTATTCAAATGTGCAGCCAAGTTAATTCAATTGGCCTACACAGGAGAGTAAATTTAGATGTGTTTGTGCTTCTATGTACAAGCACTTAAGCAACAGAAGGTCTTAATTTTAAAATAATGAGCATGCACACCAGAGGATGGGTTAGGTAGGGAGTTTTTTTTCCAATAAAATGAAAGATACATTCAAATGAGTTATAAAATAAATTGTATATTCAATGAGGAAATGACTACACTTTGCTCCAAGGCACGTTCTGTTTATGCTTCAATATAGGTCTTTCTCACATGACAAGAATACAAAAAGGATTGAAGTCACTCAGTGCTACCCATTCTTTTGATAACAATGAACTGATTATTACATCCATGACTGAATGATTTTTCTGTACATTTTTGTAAGATATTACAGGGGAGAACAACATTATCTGTTGCATTCATAAGTTAAAAAAAAAAAAAAAAACCCGAAGACTGAAATTATTTTAACTTTTCCAACCATTATATTTATTTTTTCATTTATTTTACGATGTTGAGACTAAATGCTCTTTTGGAATAATAAAAGGATTTAAATCTCCAATTGTTTTCCCTTTTCAAAACAGATGCTGGATCACTTATAAATATATATCAGTATACCTCCTGCTATTTATGTTCTGAACAATAGTAATGTAAATGAAATTAAATGCTTCCTTATGGAGGTCTATTTTTACAGTAAAGAACTTGTGCAAATTATTTACCAGATTTGATAGTGTTAAAAACAATAATTATTGTCTAATTTACATAAAAATAGTTCTAAAAGAACTTTTAATTTCTACCTGGCATCATAAATGTTAACATGGCCAGTTCAAATCTATACATCATCATAAATTTCCTAATATCGATGGTCTGTGGTTTATATTGATTCACAGTAGTGAGATGTTATAGATTAAGAAGCCAGTCCTTGGATGAGATAGTGAACTAAAATTCTTGCATTCAAGTCCACTGAAATTAACAATATTGAAGATAAGTGTTGCCAGAGTCCTCCGACAAACAATAATAACTGCAAAGTGCTGAACTGGATGAAATTACTTTAATTTAAATTACCTTTGAAATGAAGTCCTAGTGGTGACTAGGGACAGTGACTTTTTTTGAAATAACACTTTTTCCAATTTTACATTCCTTTTGTCTGATTTTCAGATGTACTAAATAACTGCAGCTTCACCTGACACACTGGGACTTGAGAGCAATCTTCCCTTCTGTAATTAGCACAATCCATAATAGGTAATGTACTACTTTCCACTCCAAAGTCCCTCTTCCAGTATCCAGATTTCTTTGTGCTAGATATCACCTCACCAGCCAGAAAAAAGTAATATCTCAGGTGGCATTCTTGCTGGCAGAATGAATTACTAGATGTTGCTGGCAAGAACATGATGATGTAAAAGCCTATGCCACCTCATCCAAATAAGTTAGAAAAGAAAATCAAGTCATGCATAAAGAGTGAATTACCACTTCCAGGAATTCCAGCTTAGCCCATTTATGTAGCAAACTTGTACAAAATTTAACAAAGGTCATTATGTTCAATGAATCACTTATGGTTGATTCATAGTAATCCCCAATACCACTTGTCTGACTTCCACAGAAACACTGTACAGTGTCCATATTAATCTCAGGATCACAATGAATTTTCACTACATTTTGACATTTCCAATTTTAGTCATGCTTCTCCTCACCAGTACTGTAATGGTCTTTCAATAAATAATGTAGCTTTTAGAGTCACGATGGCAGAACCACCATCAGAATTTTCATCCCAATGCTACCTTATTATTCAGCAAGTGGAACATGACCCAGGCTGAGCAGGGCAGTGGTGAGTCCCCGTCCCTGGAGGGATTTAAAACATGTGTAGATGTGACACCTGGGGACATGGTTTAGTGGTGGACTTGGCAGTGCTGGGTTAATGCTTGGACTCAATGGTCACAAAGGTCTTTTCCCACATAAAAGATTCTGTGATTCTCTATTAAAGTTGTAGTTGCTCTTACAAAGATATCAGTATATTCTGGTATGGAAAGAGTGTTGTTTTCCTTAATTAAATTCATGTTCTCTAGTGTTTTAACAATCCAATACAGTTGGACATTGAAGCTGCCATTTTTTGATTGCAATGCAATGCCAGAGCCTTGCAAACAAAAATTTAAAGGGTTTCACTAGAAAACTTTATTAGAATTTGCCATAATTTTAATCTAAATACTCTTTATTTTTCCTTTTTCTCTTTTTTTAACTGAGCTTCCCCTGCTTTTGGCCTGAAAAAAATTCCTGACTGAAGCAACCTGACTTGTTTGTGCAGGAAGCCTTTAGGCTGTGTCACGACTGTGCCAAATCTGCTTGAGTGAATAAAAGGGCACACTTTTCTGTCCTTTGCTTTCAAGTGTTTCCCATTTGCACAAGAGATCAGTACAATTGACTGTATAGTTACATCAAATACATGAAAAGACAAAAACCCAATAATTAACAGAAGTATTGTCCTAATGAATTTTTTCAGCATGTTCAGCAAAACAAAACCACTTTTCTGAATATTCCTATGCCTCATTATGTAAGTTTGCAAATGTTAGGATCTTTGTCTGAGATAGATGAGCAATAAAATTCTCTATCAAGCTGTTCTGAGCTATGGTAACCTGAGCCCACCTTAAGAGTTTGAGGGAGGGATTTTAACTAGAACTACATTGGTATAGCATTAGAAAATCCTAGCATAAAAAACCGCTGACCTGAGAACTCAAGCAGGTAGAACTACTACATCCCTTACCCCAAACTCAGAAGAATAATTGTAATTTATTTATTCTTCTTTTATTTTTGGTAGTCACTGCATCCTACTTATACTTCAAACGTTCTAGGTACAAATAATACTACTGTTCTAATTAATTCTTCCTGACTTACAGAAAGAAGCTTCCATCACTATTCATCTATGCAAAACTTGATTCTTCTATGCTTATATTGCCTTTGGAAAACTCCATGTATTGAAGAAAAATTGCAAGGAAGCTGAATAATTTAAGAATGAGAAGATAATGCTAAAACCCAAACAAATTAGCAAAACACTAAGAAGAATATTTTTATATGTTTAGTTCTTGATGTTAATGTTTAAGCTAATGAACCTATCTTCTGTAAAGATGCACTACATTGTGCTTAAAGCTTTACCTTTAATAACCACCTAGGAAAGGAGATATTTCAGTGAAAATTTTTTTACCTCCCTAGGCAAGAATGAGGAAAGTAAATATCCACAGAAGAGTCATCTTGATTCCAGCTGAACTCACACGTTCCCATTTCTGCACAAATGGCATAAAAGCAGCAAAGCAGTGAGAACCCTCTGCGTGTGCCCTTGAATGTGGGGAGGGCGAAAGGCAAATGAGCACAGCACTGCAGGGAGCTTGTTTTGGGGAGCATCACCTGGGGAGCTCTACCTGCCTCTGCACAGCTAGGGAACAGCACAGAGCATTGCAAAAACACAGATTTTCTACAGCCAGCTGAGGATGTCTGACCATTACCAGCAGCTCCGTACATCAAGTTTATCCCTTTTCAGGCACAAATAGAAAAATCCCAGACTGACCTACAGTTTGTCCACAAACAAGCAACAAACCAGGCCTTAGGGAGCCTTCATTTCTTCCTGTGCCTCAAGTCAAGTTAAACAAGAAGCGGGTGCCCCTTCATGATGAACTTGATAGGAATCCACCATGATAAGATCAGCCAGCACCTGCATAGCAAGGTGAGTTACTCAAGACCATCAAATGCCTCCCCCAGCAATTTACAGGAGTCAAAAGCAGTTTTGGTGGTGTAGCAGTGAATGCTCCACATGACGCCAAAATAACACTTTCCTGGACAAGATTCACCAGCCATATTTCTATAAAAGCAACCAAAGTCCTCAAGGGAGGTAACCCAGAGGTGGGGAAGGCTATTGAGTATTTGGCAGAAGGAGAGCTGCCTGGGACACCCTCAGACTGTGTTGCTGTTAGGGCCTGTACAAACACCCAAAGATTCCCTTCCAAAGCAGGTGCTGGAAAGCAGCAAGGGCACCTTGGACACAGCTGAACTTCTGGAAGGTGGATGTGTGCCTGTGGCACTGGCAGCAGGGACAATGGTAGGCAAAGGTAAGTTACACCAAACCCCAGGCCAAGACACATTTTGCAGACTACCTGGCCACAGCAGTACTTGCAGTATCAGCTGGGTTTAGTTTTAGACATGACATGGCCTAATGTGAGAGCAGGCCCCCTTCAGAGGAATGGCTTGACAGGATCAGAACCTTTCAGTGCAAGAAGGAGCTCCACTGCCCTGCACAGGCTTCTCCAGCAATGGTATTTACTATGCAGCCTGCAGAAATTCATTGTTCTTACCACATGCACCAAAATGCAGCAGTGCACATGCACAGCAGGCCACAGCAGTTATGGGCATTCATTGCCTTGCTGCTCCCCAGGAGAACCCCACAGCAGAGAAACTCACTTCTTGTTGGGAAGGGAGGTAGGTTTGCTTTCATTCACTGTTCCTGGCACACTCCTTGCTTTATCACTGAGCCTGCATACAGGCTGCCAGGACAAATTCACACTTCTGTATTCTCTAATTACCCAAGAAATGTTTGTGTGCCTCTCCTTTGTGCGAAGTCATTCAGTTTACAGTTGTCACTCATTTTTTGAAAAACTGCTATAGCTATCTGCTACAACAACATATTTTTCTTGTTTTCTAAAACAATTAATGAAATTATATCTAAAACAATTAATGAAATTATATATAACACTATTGTAGAAAAGCTATGAAAGCATTTTACAAGGAGTTGTATCAGCACATGGCCTTTTAAATTATTTCTACAATGAAGCTACACAACCATTGCTGTATATAATTACAGGCAGATATTGTCTCATTGATTTTAAAATTGTTTTTTTGTTATGGAAGGTGGAAGAAAAAAGATCCAGGAGCATTTCACAAAAACCAAGGAGGCTGAAAAACTAATATTCCATCTAAAGCAAAGGAGAAGCAAATTTTAAATCATCAGTACATTTCAGGTTATCTGCAAAACAGTAAACAACTTCTAGTATCAACTATCTAGTGGGGGAAAAAACCAAACAACCTAAGAATAAATTTTACATTAAATAATTCTGCAAAAAAGTACCAACCCTTCAATAAATTGCCATAATAAAAAACAATCCTCAAGAGCAACTTTTGGGTTTTGAGGCCAATTTAAAATAACATCAAAATCTATGACATTGGTAGGCACTCCCTTCACCTCTATAAATGTGACACTGTACGCTCTCTCAAATACTGAATAGCACTCTATTAGTCAGCTGTGGTATCAATTCGGCTGCCCTACCAAGAAGTCCTTCTTTTTCATGTTCCAAAAAACTTCATCCAATTCCCTACAATGATCCTGGAAAACGAAAATAAAAACCAAAACCCAGTCCAACAAACCAAAATAAATAAACAGTACCCCCACAAACCCACACATATTTTACTGATGGCTGCTCTCTTATACCTTGGAAATTTCAAACTGAGTTTTAGAATGATGACAAAGTTCTTAGCTGCAGATGCCAGGAAACCATTCAGGTTGGTAATTCCCACCTTTATTAGAATAGCCTCACTTCAAGGTCCTGCAGGGAAAGAAAACTGTCTGATTTTTTTTCATAGAAAAATGATTGTTATTCCCTAGGTTTTATGAAATCAATAGCAGAACTTTGTGGCTGTGCTGTGAAAGTTTTGTACTTCTTTCCAATGGTACAGGGAAATATTTGCAGCCAAATTTCTAAACAGGTCTCAAGAATCAATGCTTTCCTCTACATTTAATACCTGCAGAAATTTAGATGATTTTCCTTTAAAAACAATTTTTAAACTGCTTTGGTCCTATTTATATTCAATTTCCTTATGCTGATTGTGCTTAATAAAAGTGTTCTGTTTCTTCTTATTTAAATGTGATTTAAAATTCAGGTGCTACACCACTAAAAACACTGTTCAAGTACACAGCACACATGGAAAGGCAGCAGCAGCCTTGCATTCCACACAGTGCTGTGCTAAAGGGCTTGCAAAGAGGTGCCAGAAGTTGTTATTTAATGGACATTGTAAAACACAGCCTGTTTCCCTGTAGTTTTTGACCATCACTCCTGAAATGGTCTACAAGAGCATCAATGACAGTAAATTTTATTTTGTAACTGAATTAATTTCACACAGACCAAACCCCCAAAACCCATCTCCTTCAGTTTTGAATTGACTTGGTCACCTAGGGAGAGAACACTTGCTACTTCACTTGCAACCAGCCAGTTTCCTTTAGCTTCAGTTCTGCAGACAGACCCGGCATGACAGTGAACACAGAGAATTCCTTCAGAGTGGAAGCCTTGAAAGCTCTGCTGTTCTAAGGAAAAGAATGCAGAGGGCAGTAGGTACTTGGTGTATTTATTTAATGTTAAACTTGGACACAGTAACAACACTAGGGAAACAAGCACCGTGTGATTGCCCTGTTGTCACTCTTACCCCGATGACCCTTTCATGCCCTTAAGCATTCCAGCCAAGATACTGGGCTGGATAGACCCCGGTTTTGAATCAATACAGCCACTCTTCTGTTCTTATTTAGAGAAGCCAAAATCAAACCAAATTACTTAATTTTGTAATTTCCCATTATTAATTAATTAAGAAAAAGGATAATGGTTCACAATAAGAAGGAATTAGCTCAAGGCTGGATTTCTGCTAATAATGTTAGTTCTTCTGGTTTGCTTCAAACCTATTTTTATTTGAGAAAAGAGCTCATTTCCCAAATTGAACATAGCTACACAGGAACACATTTAGAAGAGAATAGAATTAGAATATTTCACAATTTCAAGGGATCTACAATGACCATTGACTCCAAATACCTAACCCCTCCAGGGCCGACTCATGTTCAAGCTCATACAGCAGATTATTAAGGTCATTGTCCAAAAGCTTCTTACACTGACAGGTTTGGGGCCTCATGCACCTCTCTAGGAGCCTGCTCCAGTGTTTGACCACTCTCTTGGTAAAGAAATGCTTCTTCATGCCCAGTCTGAGCATCTCCTGACACAGCTTTGAACTGTTCCCGGGTGTGCTCTGTCTCTGGATCCCGGGGGGAAGAGCTCAGCTCTTCCTTCTCTCCTTCACCTCCTCAGTCAGCAATGAGCTCACTGGTCAGCCACCTTAAAATTTAAATTTTTGCCGCTTCTACACAGCAGAGCAGTTTAGACAGCAGCATACTGTGATATTCCTTCAGTCCCAGTGCTGGTATTTGGATCTGATCCAAACTCAACAAGCATCTAAAATAGAACCAGAAATGGCAAATTAGAGAAATCAATAGTGGATACATAGAATCATCTCTGCCCTAAGGCAACAGAGCAGTCTGGTGTCTAAATCACACCACAGTCTATCAGTACCCATAAAACTGTGATCTTCAAGCATGCCTTATTGACAACATTGCACAAAAAGTAGGATAGTTGTTGCCATGCTTTAAAGAGAACAATACCATGCCCTAAAAGATAAAGTGGGGTCTAGTTTCTTCATTCCCTTCTCCCTCTTATTCCCAAAGTTTAGCTATTAAAGCAGTCGTGTACAACGTGATGGAACCAGTTACAGTATTTTGTGAGAAATCAAAGCAGTGATTAAGTTCAATGTAACCATCGGGCTATTCCCTGTCTTTCCTATTGAAACTTCTATTCTGTATAGAAAACAAGAAATTATTTTGGTTAAGAAACTCCATTATAAAAGACACCACCACAGCTACATTTCCTTCACTCCAAGTTTTGAAAGATGCCTTCAGGGAAAGTGTGCACACAGCAGCGCTGAGGAAAGGTATTTTCCCAGTGGAGCAGAAAAACGTACTGAACACCAAGGAGTGAAAGTAAATTTCTTGAAAGGTGCCTTAAACAACCCGTGGGTAAGAAACATTCAGTGAATATGAGATTGATTCTTTTCTGAGGCACACAGTTCCCTATGCATTGTATGAGCACCGTGGTTTGGGTGTTAAACCATGGATATGTGGAGACAGTCACCTAAAAATAAGAATTACAACACATTTTTTCAGTGCATTTTTGGTTCTGGTCCTTGGTACCATAACATTCATTTCCAAATATATATGGTGTAATGTAAATGAAATTCCTTTAAGGAAACTCATTTCTGTAAATGAATACATTGCAATATTTTTTTCCTAGGGACAGCTAACTGCTAGAGCAGGTAAAAAAGACACAGCATTAGTAACATGAAGCTCCTTGTCTTTTAAAAACCAACAAATTGCACAAGGATATCCCTTCTGCAGAAGAGTTAATCCTTAACATGAAGATCAAGCTGAGAGCCTCATGCTGACCATTGTTTTAGGTAAATTATGTATGTACTTTATATGACTATTTCAGCTACAATATTTGATCTGTGTTGTCCTTGGTAAATAATAGAAAGGGATTTTCTCAATGTTTGGAGGGGATGATTCATTTTAAATTCAGCACTTCCTTAGGGAAATAAAGCAGACAGAAGCCAGACGGCCTCTACCTTGAAGAAAGTGTACTCCATGCAGGAAATTCCCAATACACACACAGAGCCTGTCACTGTGAAATCACACATCACAGCCCTCCCCAGCTCTTCTCCCTTACAGCCTCTTCACATTAGCTTCAGTCAGCTGCTTCCAAGAAATCTCCCTTCACAGGGCTCTCACCTTCACCTCTTTCCTTGTAAACAATTCTTTCCTTTTCTTTGCATTTCTTTTCCCCTCTACAGAAGAAAATATAGAATCAGGATGTTTCTTCTTTTTATTTAGCTACTTCCTTCCCTGCAGCTTATGCCTGTTGGAGCCAAGAAGCAAACTCCTACTGTGCCTCCACAGTGGTCAGAAGGCCCCTGTAACTAACAAAGAATAGTCTCAGTGTCAATATATTGTCTGAATTTGGCACTGAAGAGACTGCATGGTGGTCACCCATACCTTAAGTGTTGTCTTTTGTTTCCGTATTCTCCACCAGATGTGTGAACATGAAACATTCTCATTAAACACTCCCATGAAACAGAAGCAGGAAGCAGGGAAGATTTTGTTGATCTTTTTTAAGGGAGAATTTGGCAACATTTGGTCCAGTCCCCACTTAAAGCTGGGCTACTTTCAAAGTACTGTCCTGGATGTAATTCAGCAAGGCACGTGGGAGAATCCATCAGTATTCTGCCGCTCAGCATTTGTTCAGTTAATTATCTTTTTTTAATAGAGAAAATAAAGGCTGATAAAAGGTGAAATCAGAAGAGTTTAGTGAATTTAGATGAAAGAATTGAAGTCTGAGAAGGGACTGCATCTGGCTTTTATAATTTAGCAAGGCTGAAGAACAGGAGAAAAAGAAATAGAGGAAGCACATATGGGACAAGGACAAACAAGTTCAAGCTGGTCACTGAAATTTTTGATGGAACTTTAAAAAATGTATTAAAACATCACAGAAGCAGCCAATCCCACACAATTTGAGTTGAGGTGTGAAAACTATACTCACTCTGCTCTTAGAAGGCTGGTTGGTAAGTTTATTAGAAAGAGCTGATATTAGTTCCAGCTTCAAGAACTGAAGGGCAGCCCAGGATGGTGCCTCCAGTTCTGTATTTGAAATAACCTTGATCTGTGATGCTGGCAAAGTGATGACTGTTACAGAGCAGTACCCACACATAACTGACACCACCAGAAACACAGGCAATAGTTTTCTAGAAGCAGCCAGTACCAACCAAGAACAATGTATGTAAGAACTGATGAGTGGAACATTCACATTTCAGTGGATGAATATAAAGGTAACAGAAAACTACTTTCTAACCTAAAATGTTAGATGAATATAAAGGTATTTGGGTCTGTTACGTGGGTGATAAGCAGCTGGATCAATCCATGAAAAATTGCTATTGGCTTATGATTTTAACAACAGGAGTGAAAGTTCTTATTTGTAAACTGTCTGTTTGTATATAGAGTTGACAAATTACCCAAGCAACTAAAATGGCACATGGTAATAACAGCTACTTAGCTATATGGATAACCTTTAATCACACATTTATTACTGAAAATGGCTAAAATTGTATTAATGCAAGCTGACAAAAAGTAAATGTAACCTTTAGACAGATTGGGAGCATTGTTTTAAGCACAGAGTCTTTTTATTCTGGCTTTTTCCACCACTAAGGTGCAGAGGGGAAAACAAGAATCAGTTCCCTATGAAAATACTATTTCTTCCATTATTCATTGCCTACAAGAAGAAATAGAACACAGGAGACACAACACAAGTAAAACCAGGTTCATAGGTCAGACATTTAGCAAAGACAGATGTATAAAATATGCTGTATTTTTAAAAATTATATGCAGGCACTAAAAAAAATTCCTAAAGAGTAAAAGGATATTTTTTTTAGAATAAAGAAGAAAATATCTTACAGATATCATACTAGTGATGCTGAAAAAATATTATTTTCAATCATCTTTATTCTTAGAAGAATATTACAATACAAAATATTGTGAAAGTTACTAGACAACTGAACTAATCCTTTGAAATTTTGTTTTGTTAACAAAAGGATGAAATCATCTTTCTACTTATATTCTTTACATCCAGAACATGAAGTCTCACAAGACAGTTAAATATTAAATCTTTTAATTTAATATATAATCTACACATTTCAATACTGAATTACTTCTGTTGCAATTACTTTGCAACAGAACTTTATGTGCTGATCCAGTCCCGAAGGTTTGCCAGCCAGGTAAGCCATGAAGGGATGTACTGCAGTAGCCAGAGTTACACTAAAACTCTGATCAGATCCATAAACAAGCGCTCAGGCAACTTTGGAACTTCTTTGTTCTTTTTGGCTTTTCTATAACCCCTCTATTGCTCACTGCCTGCATATTGAAGCAAGCACCAAATTCCCCATCTGCACCTATTGCCATGCAGCTGATATTGCTACAGCTGAATTGCAAATTTTGTCCTAACACTTGTGGCCTGTTTTGGGAATCTTTCCAATACTCATTAAAAACAAAAGCATACCCTTGAATTCCATATCACTGCTCTGTTAAGCTGCAAAAAAGACCATCTTTCCCTCCACAAAATGGGGAGACCAAAGCAGAGCGTAAATTGGAAAAGTAGTGAAAGCTGTCTGTTACTTATTTATCGTAAAGATTTCCAACGCAAATGTGGCAAATATTAAAGAAGTGACAATATTCCCAAATATTACAGGTTCTCATGCTGCATTGAAAAAAAATGCAGGAGGCTTAGCTATATGCTTTTATCACTTGGAAATATTTAAGAGACCATTTAGTCTGTCACTTATGGTAGCAGCTGAGTTCATATCTAAGAACATTTTAATAAAAGAATTCAACTGCTGAGATGGCTTGTTTGATAAAACAAAATTCTACCGACTGCAGTCCTCAAAGCACTTCAAATTTGAAAGTTGTAAAACTTTAAAGCATTAAGATAGAGCAGTGATTCTCATCCTGTGCACAGGACCATCAAATACTTTCTATAAAGTCTGCACAATTATGCAGAAAAATGTTAAACTATTTGGTTAAGTAAAATCACTGCTTTTCTCTGCTGACTCTGCTGAAACAGTAGACAAGGGAATGAAACCCAGATCTCAAATAACTAGCTGAGCTTTACACTGCCAGATACAATTCTTTGAAAGTTCTTTGCTTTGGTGAAAAGGTTACTGAACCATAAGAAAATTGAGTTCTTGGCTACCTATGCAAATCCCTCTCTAGGATGCCTCAACATCACTTGTTCAAAACAATTAATTAAATTTTTTTCTTTCCCATGCCATGTAGATCCAGAATCCCATTAGTTTTCACTAAAGCTCATGCCACTAAGTAATATTTTCCTCTTCATGCCCATCTAAATCACCATGTTCCATGTTCAGAAATACTACATATACATAGAAGTTACCAGCTTTGCATTTATTTTAAGCTTTCTTTTCTCTGATTACACTAAATGAAACTTCAAGGGGTTGTCAACTGAGTTATGCCATCATTCACTAACTCTCTTAGCTTCCTTCTCCTTGAATACCTTAATCTAGTCTTAAAAGCTGATTGTAAAATTGAGATTTTATATTACTTATTCAGTGCATCTTGGAAATAGTCCAATCAAAAAGCTAAATCTGTTCTCACTGCAAAACAGAGCTAATATGAAAAGCAAGGAAACCGATTTATTTTTTTTCTCTCTGAATATGAATCACATAAAATCTGTTCTAGACTTCACAAAATTAATTTTTCACAGTACAGAAATGATAAAGCTAAGAGTTGAAAACAATAATTTTGCTGAAGAATACAATAAGTTTTGTGGCCATTTTGAGGAAGAACAGTATTTGCAAGTTAGCTTCAGGGCTGTCAGTGTTAAGAGTAGAGAAAAATTTTTACTGCTCATCATGTAGCAAAACCTCTGCTCAAAGCCAGATCAATGAGTGCTGGTTGGGAGGTGTTCCTAACCTTCAACTGTTAAAAACTGTATGCAGATCATAATTTTTCTTATGTTTAAAAAAAAAAACCAAAACAGTGAGTAAGCAAAAAGTTCATAAAGAAAACATGAAAATACCCACTGATAAACAAAATTCTAAGAATTTCAATTTCAACAATTTCTTGTGTTGAGAAATACAGTTCAATACAACTCTGTGCACAACAACTGGGTAGTTTAGACTTCAATGCAAAACAGCTTTGTTGTTAGGATGAACTGGAATAGGAGTGACCTGTACAGAGAAAAGCATTATCTGGCTTGTATTCAACAAGAATGGTGTTCTACTCAGGGATAATGGTAAGGAGAAATTTAATAATACAGTATACTCAATGTCCCATGATGAACTATATTGTGTCCAGTCCATAAGTGAAATAAGCAGAGATAATGACACATTTTGTTATTCCATCAAGCGGGGGGTGGCAATTTCCAAACAGACATTACAAAATATCATACCTATTTAAGAAAGGAGGAAAAAATCGAAACTATCAACTCAAGCCTAGGCTGGCTTCTAAAGTTAAAAATTTGCTAATAAGTTAAAAGGAAAAGACATAAATGCACTTGATTTATTAAGGTTTCACAGAGCACAATTTCTTTCATGGAGTAAAAAAAAAAAAAAAAAAAAAAGCAGATCTAATACATCTGGAATTCCATTGGGCATTTGACCCATTATCAGATGACATTGTCAAGTTAATAGCTTCAAAAAGAAAGTGAGAAACAGTACAAGATTCAAACACTGTGCATAAAAAGAGCCAGACAAGAGACAACTGGCAGTGTTAAACTGAAGCTGAGCAAGTGAGACACAACCCAAAAGTCAGTCCTGGGGGAATTCAGTTTTGCACAGAAGCATGCAAGACAAATTCAGGCAGTTTGAAAATGAGGCAAGATCTGTACCTGAAAAAAGGTATTAAAGCAGTCCTTCGGCATTAGATAAGATTGGACTTCTTGACCTCTGTCTGAAACTAAATACTATTAGAAATTGCATGTGAAATGTCAGTGATGAACACTAATAGTGGCCGAAAGTTTTCTGTCCTATTTTTCTAGTCCTTGTTTTCACCACTGAAGAAAAGAAAAATTTGAAAACCTGTTCCTCTGCAGCACTGTGAGCCCATAACACCTTTAAAATTTCCATCTTACACAGAAAGACTTCCTTCTCAAGACTGACATGTTCTGTGAAGTCCTCTTTTAAAGAGCAGAAGCGCTTTCAAGAAGTAATACATAATTAAAATAACCTACACAGGAATCCAGGTTGCACTCCATCACTGAGTGACTCCCCTGTGCGCTGGGTCAGCTCCAGGCAGCTGCAGAGCCCAGAGCTGGGGACACTGACGAGAGGTGACCGTGGTGTGACAGCCAGCACCCTCAGCTGCCCTTTCACAGGGTGAGCTGAACCGGTGCTGGGCACAAGCCAGAAATACGGAAGCGCATGAGTGAGCACATCACCGGGAGCAGGAGAAGGGGATCAAGCATTCCATGGTAAAGGAATGAGGGAAAGCTCTCCTACGGCACACGGTGTTTGTACACATGGTGGGTGGCCTGACTGCCTGGTTCATTCCTCTTCACTCCAACCCAAAACTTCTATGTTCCTGCTATCCAGCACCTCTACTCAAAGAGCTGAAAACCTTTTACATGAGTTCTTTGGGGTTTTTTTAGATTTTGTTCCGTTTCCTTTTTTTCAGAATTGCTATCTTCTCCTCCCATCTCCTGTCTATTACAATAAGCATTTAATGGAACCTGTGACAAGACCGAGCACACTGGAATCTCAAATACTATTTATCCAGTGAATAAATATATTTATTGCAAACAATTAATGGATCCTTTTATTTCTTCCTACGCAGATTTTAGATTCAGATTTTACTCAGATTAGTAGGAGTTGAAGAAGGTAGGTTACTATGCAAGTGAGGTTGTCCATAAAACATGAGATTAAAAATGCTGGTATATTAAGCAACTTGATTCTAAGTACATGAAGCAGGTATTTTTGCACATGCCAGTACTTAGTTTCCACACATAGATTTAACTCCTGTAAACCCAGAGCCAATGCTACTTAGAAAAAGCAGGTGTTTTTTTTCTGGCTTGTACAGTGTGCTTGGCATTACTGTTGGTGTCTTCCTAACCAGGACATCATATGTAAGAAGGTCTGGCTGCCTTTAAAATCCAGTCTCAAATTGCACTGCGAACAGTGAAAAGAGAAGGTGAATGCAATCCCCATGTTTGCTTTGAACCTGTGAAAGTATAACCTGGAGCCACTGGGACAGCAGAAACAGCAGGCCATGATACCATCTTCTCAGGACTGAGTTACATTTTCAGAAACGTATTTGAAAGGAAAGGATTCTTTCAACAACTTCTTCAGCTGAGGGCAATGAGAGATATGTGGCATCACCTGAAAACCAATTGAATCTTGTGACCAGAAACCTGCCTTCATGGAAATTCACTCTTTAGAGTGCTGACACAAGATATTCATGTGGCAGATAGGGCCGCCTTTCTCACAGCTGCAGAACAACCTCCTAAGCAAAAGCGTGACATCAACTAAGTGAAAGGCTATCTGACATAAGATGGGCACCTTCCCCTTTGTCATTCAAGCCCTTTGTAAGTGCGCATTTGAGCAAAAAACTCTTACTTCTGCAAAAAAAAAAAAAAATTCCTTGTCATTGTATAACTAGCTCAGGACACTTGACATAATTACTATGTGTGGCAAATTCAGCTTTTTGGGTGTAGCTGACCACACAGTTATTCTGTAGTTTTCACTTTCTTCCACAAGGTTCAAGCTTTTCTGTTAATCCAAACAAATTTGTAACATCAGCCCCATTATTTTATGAAAGCTTTGACTACCTG